CACCACCAATGAGCGGTATCGCCGTAAGTAACGCCATGAACGCTGCGGCCGGATCTTTTCCAAGTCCTAGTCCAACTCATTCCCCTAATAACTCGGCCTTTTCGGGTTGGAATCATAAGCGCGTCAAATACGAATATTCCGAGGCCACCACGCCTTCATCCAGTCAATCTTCGCCTAGGGTCAACACACCCGGTGGTTATCAATTACCAGGCCTAGGAGCTGGTCCGGCAACACCGGGCGCCAACCCATCTACACCACAAGCCTACGCTAGTAGCAACCTGCAGATGGTGACCAACGCCTCGAGTCCGCATTATTCTAACGCGACCAGCAACGGGGGCACACCCACCTCGACCCACGAAGGTCTGGATCGCTATATTGAACATGGTGCCGTTTTGCATACTTCGTCACCTGAAAATGTTGGTAATGCGGAAGAGTCGAGACGCTACGAGCAATATCGGCAGCGAGAAGACCCACCAGCTTCAGAAGATATCAATGGTGGGTGGGAATAGGTCATTAGAACTTTACAAGTTTAATGCGCATGTTGCACCACCACAGGTGACTTATTCTTAAAGAATTCTCTTTTCTTTTCTCATATTAGACAAAAAATGTTAAATGTGTATAGGCGATCTTTTTTCGTTGCATATATTTCTTTACTTTTTTACTTTTTTTCTTTTTATTATTTCAAAAAAAAAAATCTACAAACATTGCCTTCGGTTTTTTCGTAGGATTTTTTTATTTTTCTCTTTATAATATCATTCTTCTTGATACAAAAACTTTCCTTCTCTCTCGATGGACTTTAGAATCTTTAAGATTTATTAAACATTAGACAAGGCGAGAGGGCGGGGAAGGTGCGAGGTAAAAAAAATTATTTTTGTGTGAAATTTGGGATAAGTGTTGGGTGGGAATTACAAAAAAAAAATTTTTGATTTCAAATACTTGATTTTTCGAATTGTGTTTCTTTCTTATTTTTTTCCTTTTCTACAAGAACCAAAACAAAAAAATTCAATAAAATGTGTAAAATAGAATAAACAAAAA